CCTCGAACTGAAACTTGCTCCGGAGTGGCGGCGGCGCCGTGGTGGCCAGGTGAAAACTTGACTGTCATCGGTAAAAGCAGACGCAGAATCCACGGGCTTGCGGGTTGTACATGGCCAACGAAGATGGAACCGTGATTGGATTTCTATTTGTGTTGACCTGGCCTCGGACCGACGTTCTTGGATCGCAATGACTCGTGACGTTCATGAAGCTGGCATATTACAAGTTTAGGTTGACGGTGACATAAATTAGTAACAACATCAGTAACAGATAACTTAAGACTATTTGACACTGGGATTTTTGTAGAATATTTGAGACTGTAGCTGGAAGAAGCATTTTATATTTTTATTTGTTTATTTCTTTCCGGAAATTCGCGCAATGCTACTCACGTGGTATCTATATTAGTAGTCACTAATTTCGAACTGATAAGACTAGAGGGAAGGCAGCTAGTCAACATCACCCAACGGTGTGGTTGACTAGTCTTCAAAATATAATGTAAAAAAACAGTATTTTATAACTTTCGATATTAAGTATGTTTGTTTTATTAAGTCAGTTCAATACAGAACGAGTACTGAATACTTTTATCTCAGCACAAACTTTGTGTGACTTTATAACTTAAAAATAACTTCCAGAAATGTGCGCAAATACTTTCAAATTAACCATAACGGAACAAAGTAATTATCCCCGTCCCACCAAACATGCTCGCCCTTTCAGCCGTGGGGGCGTTATACAGTGACGGTCAATCCCACTATTCGTTGGTAAAAGAGTAGCCCAAAAGTTGGCGGTGGGTGGTGATGACTAGCTGCCTTCCCTCTAGTCTTACACTGCTAAATTAGGGACGGCTAGCGCAGATAGCCCTCGTGTAGCTTTGCGCAAAATTAAAAAAAAAACAACAAACAAACAAAGTAATTCTCTACGCAATACTTATATATAGATATTAATATTTTATTATTTTACAATAATGGTAGAAATAATACACTTATCCGTCTGACGTAAGTACAATAATCTCTGCAAAATTGAAGAAGGTAATGTTAGAAAGATGATTTTCAATATGGTGTAGAAAATGCCTAAGATGGCAAGGCAAAATTTGGTGTTGAGTAAGCACTATGTCTGTTAATACATCACCAAAACTGATAATAAAGGCAATCCTTTCATTATTTATTGGTGATATACAGATTACAATCAAAATCGTGTCAAATAAAATTTTAATTACACTTTACTTGTTCTAAGTAAATTAAATATCGATGAGGCCTTTCGCTCAATACCAGAGGTCTTCATTGAACGAAACGCTTCATCGGTTGTGGCGTAACGTGAATAAAGTGTATTTGAAATGTTATTATACACTCGTATAAATCGAAACTCTGATTGGTCTAGAAAAGAATGAAGCAGTTTAAGTTATTATAAATCTGATAGTGACGTAAAATACATGTATTAATTCAGTGCTAAAAATTTTCCGGTTTTTGTCATCAAAATGTTTTTCGTTCGTTTGCACCATCGTGTTATAAGCCGCAACCTCAAGTCCCTAGGACTAATCTTTTAGTTGTACGTGTAATCCAAAGATGCGCGATTTTGTAATTTGCATATCAAGTAGACTTTTTTAAAACACGTCTTACCAAACGTAGATGGCAATGAAATTGAGGCCGGGCCAGGACCTTTATGTTCCGCTGCTATTGGTCCACGTCGTTTAGTAGGAGTCCATGGACGCTGTTGAACGTAGTAGCCGGTAGGAGAATTACTCTACATGTCGGGAGAAAAAAAAAAATCAAGACTTTTATTACTCTTCGGAGTTTTGATAAACAAATGATTTTCAACATGTTGGGTTGACTTCTTCACTTTGTTGTTGAGCGCAAGGCTGAAAAATGGGCTCTTTGTGCTGTGCCCACAAGTATCGAAAACCATTTTTAGCGTTCACCTTAAAACAATTAAATTTTAACAGCAGCGTCTCGGTCTTAGGCCTATATCAGAAAGTTGTTTAACTGCCATGTATAGGGTTAGGTAAACACACAAACACGGATGTAGACGTCGCAAAACAATAAACCAAATTCAAACGCAGTTGTTATAATTTACTTCTGATCAAAGCAAACTATCGACAAAAATCAGAACTTATAATCATGTTTATCTCATTCTGTAGTTTCTAGTTGTACCGTCCTGTTAACATGTTTATCTCAGATGCTGAGTTCCTCTGGAATTAAACTATCGCCATTTAATTGTTTTTCATTGGTCGCTAGACGTTGTAAGGATGACCTTATAAAGTTGTGCCTAAACTGGTGTCCCGGTTGTCAAGGGTATCGTTGTTTGTACCTAAAGAAAAAAAAAGTTTCTTTTAGACTAAGTTATTATCTAGTCTTTCTTTTATGTAACAATTTTAGTTAGAATATCCAATTTATATAACATATTTAGTTTTATTATTTTTCGTGTTTTGTTGTTGTTGTTATGATGGTTAATGTGTATTGTTAGCATAATATATCTCATAAATTTTCTAAGCTGGCTGACCCTCGTTACATATTATTGGGATTACGGCCGAAAATATCGCTAACAGCGAGGATACCAATTGGTGAATCTTTTTATTTGTAAATAAAAACTGTATATTAAGTTATTTACGTTCATTATTGGATTAATTTTTAGTTTCTTGTTGTACCGTCCAAACATGTTTAACTCATTCTGTACACGACGGTACAATAAACTACAGAATGAGTTAAACATGTTTACAGGACGGTACAATAAACTACAGAATGAGATGAACATGTTTACAGGACGGTACAACAAGAAACTACAGAATGAGATGAACATGTTTACAGGACGGTACAACAAAAAACTACAGAAGAGGCTAGACCTGGAATTAAACACTTGAGAGCTTTATGCTTTGCACTTAAGTGAATTCTTCCCATGAACACAGGTAAACCAAAGGCTAGAGTGTGTGAATTGTGTAATAAAAAGTTTTTGAAGAAGACCTAACAGTACTTAATCCAATGTCTATCTAAAAACACAGTTTTGTTGGGTTATGGGCGAGAACAACGCGATAGGCCTCGTCGGTACTAGATGTGGCAGATGTTGTGTGATTGACATATAACATACTTTTATTTTATTCTACTCATAAATTCGTGCCTCTCAGTGGCTCAGCGGTAAGTCTGAAGGCGTATACGCTAAAAATCGGATTTCGATATCCGTGGTATGCACAGCACGGATAGCCCATTGTGCTTAACAACAAACAAACAAACAAACATAAGTTATTAGTATGCACACGTTTGTATATGAACAATCACAAAAATAAAATTCTTGTTCACAGGAGATCGAAATAACAGTTCACGTCTCTGATTTCACTGAAACAGATGTTACGACATCGGGGGTCACGTGACGCTAGTATCACGCCACAATCTTCTCGAACGTTCACGTCCCTTCCTGAAATATCGGGAGTTTACTAGATCTCGGTATTCTTTTATATATAAGACGGTCACAACGTGACGGCAATAATGTATTGAGTTATTGAACTGCGGACAGAGAGAATATTGTTGGGCATGTGAGACGTTCGTTGTGAGTTTTAGCGTTTGTTATACCGCGACTGTTGAAATTAAGTGTATCGCAAAGTTGTATTCAGAAAGAACAAACCAGTTTTATTTAAGAAAGGACTTGTATCGGTCAAGTTTCTTCGGGAAGAAATTATACGGAAAATTAACTAACGAACGGAGGCGTAACACAGAAAATCAATATTCCCACACTATTGGACGAAGAATTGTACTCAACTGATACAAGAGACCATGACAGACATTTTAAACATATTTCGTTTAATTCTATATTCGTGTTTATGTATTTATAACCAGTTAGTTATATCCACAAGTTAGGAGAAGTTTAATAAGGTAAGCGACGTGTATACGTAATAAAAATCTCTGCCAATCACGCGAGTTGATTTCCGCCCCGATGTCGCTTTCTTTTGATAGAAATCTTAATCAAACAGATAACTGATAATAAAGGCATAAACAAAATATGAAGGGATGGTTATTAAGTAGCACACGATGTCCTCACCCGGTAAAGAAATGAGGGAACATCTTTATATTTTCATTTTGCTTGTTATTTCTCTCTGAATAATTATTTATATATATATATATATATAGAAAGATAGTAGTTATTTGTAAAAGTACAAAAATAAATAATTACTGTTAATTAGTTTTATTGGGCTACAAATTAATTTAAACAATTAGTGCACACACGTAATTCAGTAGTCCCCTACTGGCTTAGCAGTAAGCTTGGATGAAGGTTCATGATACTAAAACCCAGGAGTTCGATTCTCCGCGTGGTCACATTGGGTAGCTTTATACTTCAACCAAAAATGTTATTATTATTGACAGACTCTTACGTTCCCGAATTTCTTTTCTTCTCCACCTTTATCTTGTTATCCGTAAATTTGATAACACTGGGAGTCTGGATAATTGGGAGAAGAGAGCCATGTTAAAATATAAAATAATAAAAATGGGCGTGTTACAAAAAGATAATGTCATTGTCACGTGCGAATGTATTTCGACCTGAGACAGAAAATCGACGAGGTATTACTATTTTTATCTTTGCAACGATTGGCCTACTCGGATGGGGTGTTCCTATGGTAACAACAAAACTGAACTTGTCATATATATAGTAAAATTGTACTAATGCCGTTCTAATGAATGTTATTTAAAGTTTTATCAAGTTATCTCCCCTTTTCGTTTTCTTCTAATCACTGTATTTTGAATATTTTTTAACAAATCTATTTATTTAATTTTAACATATTTTCAGTTAAGTCACAATAATAAACTTTTTTGGCAAGATTTACTATGCTTACTTGTTTGTTTCAAGATTTTCGCGCAAAGCCACAAAAAGGGCTATCTGTGCATAGTCATTTCTAATTTTGAACTGGTAAGACTTGAGGGAAGGCAGCTAGCTAGTCACTCACCGCCAACTGTGGGGTTACTCTTGTCCCACCGAATAGTTGGATTTTAACGTCACCTACGACCTATGTGGAGCACAGTTTTTTTCAAAAAAGGGTTGCGAATCATAAACCCTGTGAATCAGTCCGAGCACACTAACCATTAAGTCAAGCCCTGCAATGAACCGCTATATTTTTACTACTTCACAATTAGAGAAACATAAAAACAACAACTATTAGGCCTAACTGATCGCTACAAAATAAAAACGAAAACAAGAAATATATGAAGTTTAATTTTAGGATTTTTTTTTCACGTGGGTCAAAGCCCAATAATATAAACTAGGGCGAAGCTCAGTATATTAAAGTTTAATATATGTATTGATAACGCTGTATACACCTATCAAAAGCCCTCGTACCGGGCTGAAAATAAATAGAATGGGCTCGGTTATATGACACGATGTAAACGTAGTTATTTCGTTAGTAGACTAAGCACGTGTATTTCGAACTTACAATTTTCTGACACAGAAACATGCGCTTTAGGTGATCAAATGGCACCGATTTAGGGTTAACATTAGCCTAGACTTTGATGAAATCGTAAGATCGTTGTCGATAATTTTGTTCGGGTTTGTTTGTTTGTAATTAAACACAAAGCTACACAATGGGCTACCTGTGATCTTTCCACCACGGGTATCGAAACCCGGATTCTAGCGTTGGAAGTCCGCAGACATACCGCTGTGCCATTGAGGGGCACTTTGTTCTGGACTAAATTCGCTATGTGCAGGCTTTTGGGTTTGGTTTGCTATGAATTTCGCGCAAAGCTACACGCTAATTTAGAAGTGTAAGACTAGAGGAAAGGCAGCTAGTCATCACCACCCACCGCCAACTCTTGGGCTACTCTTTTACCCACGAATAGTGGGATTGACCGTCACATTATAATGCCTCCACGGTTGAAAGAGCGATCATGTTTGGTGGGAGGGGGGATTCGAACCGTGACCCGCAGATTGCGAGTCAAGCGTCCTAACCACCTGGCCAAGACTTTTCGAGAAAAAGAAGAGAAAAATCAACTTTGCAACATAATATTAATGACGTATATTTTTCTTTTGATATTCCATTCTCATCTTGAAATATTAAAATAGTTTTAGATAACAAACAATTAAAAAAAAACTAACATAAGATACGTGCTCTAAATTAACCTGCAGTAGAACGCGTAGTAACAAATTAGCAGTAAGTCTGAAGGCTTATAACACTAAATACTAGGATTCGATACCTGTGGTGGTCATAGCACAGATTGCCCATTGTGTAGCTTTGTGCTTAACTACGAACAACCAAACTCTAAGGCGACAAATTACATCTATTTTACTTGAAATTGTCGTAAATAGTATAAATATTTGAAATTAGGTTTGTGCATTAATTAAGGTTGTAGTACCCAGTATACAGTGAAAATGTGATTTCTGTCCCGTAGCACCGCTTTAATAAAAATCGTTTGAAGAGACCTCGCCACCGAACAGTGGGTTCCTGGACATCGTCTAGAGTCTAGACATTCAATAACCCCATGCCCAGAAAGTGGCTTTCTGGACATCGTTTAGAGTCTGGACTTTCAATACCCCACGCTCGGACAGTGGCTTTCTGGACATCGTTTAGAATCTGGTCTTTCAATACCCCACGCCCGGACAGTGGCTTTCTGGACATCGTTTAGAGTCTGGACTTTCAATACCCCCTCAACCGGACAGTGGCTTTCTGGATATCGTCTAGAGTCTAGACTTTCAATACCCCCACGCCCGTACAGTGGGTTCCTGGACATCGTCGAGAGTCTAGACATTCAATACCCCATGCCCGGACCGTGGCTTTCTGGACATCGTCTAGAGTCTAGACTTTCAATACCCCTGACCTGAGGACCATGGCTTTTTGGACATCGTCCAACGCAGGACTAGACATTAATTTTGGATTGAATTTCGCTAAGCCTACTTGTTACGTTAAAAAAACACACTAAAACGTCAAAGATTAATGAAATGTTTGCATTTTTCTAAGACTTCGTTTTTATATCTATAATAAAAATTGACTTCTAATAATACAACAGGAAAGTAATTAAAAGATAAATCCAAAAGTTTCATGTCCTTATCACCATCCTTCATTACAGTGGCTCAACATCCATCCCTTCAATGGCTCAGCGGTAATTCTGTAAGCTTATAACGCTAAAAACCAGATTTCGATTCCAGAAGTAGGCACAGCATCGATAGCCTATCATGTAGCTTTCTGCATAATAGTAATATTGAATAACAAAAACCTACCTAAAAACATTTCCCGAACATCTTTCAGTGGAAGACTAACATACCCTTACCTACCAAACATTTCCCGAACATCTTTCAGTGGAAGACTAACATACCCTTACCTACCAAACATTTACCCGAACATCTTTCAGTGGAAGACTAACATACCCTTACCTACCAAACATTTCCCGAACATCTATCAGTAGGAAGACTAACATAGCCTTACTTACCAAACATTTCCCGAACATCTTTCAGTGGAAGACTAACATACCCTTACCTACCAAACATTTCCCGAACATCTTTCTGTAGAAGACTAACATACCCTTACCTACCAAACATTTCCCGAACATCTATCAGTAGAAGACTAACATACCCTTACCTACCAAACATTACCCGAACATCTTTCAGTAGAAGACTAACATACCCTTACCTACCAAACATTTCCCGAACATCTTTCAGTGGAAGACTAACATACCTTTACCTACCAAACATTTCCCAAACATCTATCAGTAGAAGACTAACATAGCCTTACCTACCAAACATTTCCCAAACATCTTTCAGTGGAAGACTAACACGTCATCTGGGAGAATATTTTAATAATGTTTCACAAAAAATAGTAAACAATTTTATTATTTTTATTTATACAATTTAATGTTTTTACTATATAAATATAATATAGAAATACATTTTTTTCGAGGGGTAATAACTCTTTGTATTATTCGTGGACCTGCATTAAGAAAAATAAACATTTCTTACATCTTTTTTTATAGCTCAACCAGTAATCCTTTTTGGATCTATGTTTTACAATGTTTATAAATGAAGTTAAACATTGTATTTCAAACTTTAAGGGCCGGGAGTAATCTAGTGGCCAGCGTACAGAGCTGCACGTCGTTAGGTCCCAGGTTCGTGCCGCTGTATGTCACCCAATACGTTTTGTTCTCCCAGCTGTGGAGGGAGTGTTATAACTGTATATGGTTAAGAATAGATACATGTTACGCTGCTGACTGCCTTCCTTCTGTCAGAACTTTGGGGTCTCTGACCTGACCGTTTATCTCGTGTGTCCGTAAGGATTGAATAATTCGAGTACCAGTACTAATTCAAACTAGGAACTATTGCAGAAAATAAACGACAAACTGTAATGCAGTGTGAAGATTGATTAAGTATCTTCACAAAAAAAAAGGTTAAAATGTCGTGTTTTTAATCTACTAAGCCTAGGTTTAACTAATTTTCTAATACTATTATAACAAGAAAGAAAAGTGGAAAATAAGAAAAAAACAACAACAACAACAGGAGCTTACCTTAATAACCATTTCCAATTAGTAGCACGAGAACACAAACCACTCAAGACGAACTGACTGAACTATGTACAGTCTGCACGAGGAATTCGTTAGCTCTCCACCCACCAGTCATAACTTCTATGTTTTCTGATTGGTCGCTGAAAAAAAGGAAAAAAACTAGAGGTTTCTATGCAGATGACGTCACATTAGTATATCGACTAATCGAGTCAAATGACTTTGGAAATATTAAGACGTCATCACGTGCCTTTGTCAGCGGCTTAACAAGGAAGTACAGTAAATAATGTCATTTATGGTGCGTGTCGATGGAAAAAAAATCAATCTCAAAATACTAAGATCACATGTTAGATACACTACAGTTTCATCGGAAAAAGTGACCAGGTTATGTAAATTAAGGACTTAAAAACAGGTTAGCTTGTTGATTAGCATCAGATACGCGGACTTGTATAACCAGACAACACTTTACTATTGAATTTGTAGAAGTTAAATGTTGATTATTTTTGTGTGATAATAACAAAGAAAAACCATTAAAAGTCAATCTTGTAAAGTCAGAAACGTTGGAGCACGTGAGAGTAGACTAAGTTAAAATTTAAACATATGAAGTTACAAAAATAATGGTAAGAACCGATTAGAACCGCGAGTTTCTCTTGACGGATGTAATATTTTATGTACATATACGATAATGTTACATGATCAACAAATGTTGTTGTATTTGTTATAATGTTGGTATGTAGTTATAAGATAATGTTACATGATTAACAAATGTTGTTATATTTGTTATAATGTTGGTATGTGCGTATAAGATAATGTTACATGATTAACAGATGTTGTTGTATTTGTTATAATGTTAGTATGTATATATCAGATAATGTTACATGATTAACAGATGTTGTTGTATTTGTTATAATGTTGGTATGTGTGTATAAGATAATGTTACATGATTAACAGATGTTGTTGTATTTGTTATAATGTTGGTATGTGTGTATAAGATAATGTTACATGATTAACAGATGGTGTTGTATTTGATTATAATGTTGGTATGTAGTTATAAGATAATGTTACATGATTAACAGATGTTGTTGTATTTGTTATAATGTTGGTATGTGTGTATAAGATAATGTTACATGATTAACATATGTTGTTATATTTGTTATAATGTTGGTATGTGTGTATAAGATAATGTTACATGATTAACAGATGTTATTGTATTTGTTATAATGTTGGTATGTATATATAAGATAATGTTACATGATTAACAGATGGTGTTATATTTGTTATAATGTTGGTATGTGTATATAAGATAATGTTACATGATTAACATATGTTGTTATATTTGTTATAATGTTGGTATGTGTGTATAAGATAATGTTACATGATTAACAAATGTTGTTATATTTGTTATAATGTTGGTATGTGTATATAAGATAATGTTACATGATTAACATATGTTGTTATATTTGTTATAATGTTGGTATGTATATATCAGATAATGTTACATGATTAACAGATGTTGTTGTATTTGTTATAATGTTGGTATGTGTATATAAGATAATGTTACATGATTAACAGATGTTGTTGTATTTGTTATAATGTTGGTATGTGTATATAAGATAATGTTACATGATTAACAGATGTTGTTGTATTTCATTATAATGTTTGTATGTGTGTAAATAAGATAATGCTAGATGATTAACAAATATTTAAATGTCTATAAATTACGATTTCAACCCTTTAATTTCGTTTACAATATTTATCAAACATCTAACAATTCGTAGTGCTTGTCTTATGCTTTCTTCACATACATAGTACTATAATTGTGATTAGTAATTCTAATTTAGCCAAAACTACATAATGGGCTCTCAACTGCGTGAAATCGAACCCCGGATTTTACCCTTGTTAGTCCGTTTACTTATTGTTGTCCCACTGGGGACTTTTGACAATGTATTGGTAATGTGTACACTAAATAGTGGGTTGTCAGGCCCTGAAAAAAGAACCAAGAAAAAAAAAGTGTGTATTAATTAATTTTTATGTCCTGTTTAAGATTCTACAAGTACTCAAATGGTAAAACCCTTTAAAAGAGTATTTGCAATAGTGTTTTGTAGCTACTAAGGCCACGTGCTGCCGCCCCTACCTTTAAACTACTGGCTAGTGAGCACCACCATACCACACACCATTCACACTAAGGGAACTGTATGCCACTCTTATAACGCACCCATAGTTTAAAGTGTGGTGAATATATTGTAGTATTGTTCGGATTCAATTCCATCTTGCCAGCTCCGAAAAATAGAGCTCCACCATAGGGCCAACCTGCGCTCCCTCTAGGAAAAGATGGATGATTGGTACATTGAGGAGTCTTCTCGAAGGTTCGACCAGGGAGACTAAAAAACAATCAGAAAGTAGGCTATATTATGAAGCTGAATATATCAGTTTTAGTACGGAGTATAACTACTGTGAGCAGTAACTTTGTTAATACATCTATATGACAGGAACTCCAACCAACGTTAGAAGACTGATCATTTGATCGCTGGTGGAGAAGGAGAATCATTGCATCCAGAACTGAGAGGAAAGACATCTTTCATAAAGTACTGCAAGAAAGATTTAAAAACTATCTCTAGCTAAGAATAGAATTTTACAATACACGTGTCTAAAGTCATTCGTCGATGTCTCACATGCAAGAAGAATTGAAACGTGTTGAATGTCAGGTATTTCACATGGAGCTTTCGCTTGGAAATGACGACATGAATAATCGGCCATTAACTTCAGCACCAACTGTCTCATTTGGGGGCTTAAGTGTTTGCCTTAAGAACCCTACAACATGGAGACGTGTTGTTCAGTGTGGAACCATGGAGGTAAAGCAGCAGTTGTTTTACTAACAGTCTTTGAGATAAGAGGAGATAGCCTGGTATCACTATATGCTAGCAAGGCTTTGTTGGCAGCCTTCTTTGT